TCCCTAGTCTTCCTGCCTATCCCTTCTTTATGTTCTTGTTTCTTCCTCCAGCTTTTTTTACCTGCTTCTGGCTTTCCTGGGTCCATAGCTATTCTGCAGTTCAAATTACTTTCCAAACACAATGCTTGCAGCATTGTTGCTGTGTGTCGAGAGCCCGGTGCTGGCTTTTGAGGCCCATCATGACCTTGACTGCCATAGGTGCTCCTCTGTTCTCCCTGAGACCACTGAGCTTCTGTCTGTGCTTCTAGCCTCAGTGGATCACCAAAAATATGAGCCATGTGCCCTATTACCTTTTAGTGCCGTCTTGTTCTCTTATCAGAATGAGGAGCTTCTTGGTAGATAAATATCTCTTCCTCTTAATCAACTTCTTTTTAACGTCAGGAGGGGCTACAGCACAGTTGTTTTTCCTATTTATCTCAGAAGGGTCAGTGACTTTATGCTGCTTCTTGTTATCCAGTTACCGAAATTGTTTATGACTTGATATTCTGCTCTCCTTCTGGAATACTTCCTATGAGGATTTAAATCTCTCTCCTGCTGCTCTCTTACCTTTTTGGGCCATTGTTTGATTCAAGGCCCTCCAGGGAGAAAAAAGAACTTCATTCAGTGATTCAGTTTTAGAAAATCAGGTACTCAAGAGTTTTCACTTTTTTCATTTTTATTTAATGAGATCTTAGTAAGTACCTCTCTTGGTACCTTCCTTGTGGATTCACATGTACATTTTTTCTCTTTTGTTCTTTTTACGTGTTTGTTTTGGATTTTTTTTTTGGCTGCAAGAACAGAATGGCTGTGGAAACCTAAATCCCCTGTTATGAAAAATGCTGTCCTCACCTGAGGGGAATTATTTGCTGTGTTTTTACAAGTTCTCTTTCTTTTTTTCTCAAAGATATGGAGATGTGTCAATTTTGTGTGTAGGTGGAATAATGTCTGTTTTGATTTGCAAGCAGCTGTACCTCAAAATAACATGGTGCTGGACAGTTTTCTCTAAAATCAGGCTGTGACTTTCATTACTTTAGATTATTTTTGTCGACTTTTAAGAGTTCTGAAAATAAAATATCACCCTCTTATTGCAATGTATAAGAGCACCCCACTAAACATTTGTTCTTGGGTATGTTCCTTCCTTTGCAGTTAATAATTGATGTTGATATCAGACAATGAAACATACAATATAACTGTATCTGGTTTAGTTTCTTTGGAATGAAATGCAGTTGAAAACTGAAATGTTTGATAGTTATAAATGGGTGAAACTAATGATGCATAATATGTTCCTGCTTTTAAATGATTGTTAAGATTTAGATAGTAGAAAGCTTTTGTGAGGACATTAAAAAACAAAACAAAACACAAACTTGAAGCATCTTGCAAATCTTTTAAAGTTCATGAGACTTCAGTTAAAGAGATTTTTTCTTTTTTCTTTTATTATTTTTTTTGTAATTTTCCAGCCATTCCCCTAGGAATTATAGTTGTACGAGGAGATTGTGACCTGGAGACCTGTCGTATGTACATTGACCGTCTACAAGAGGTGAGGTTTTTGTGAACTCAGCTATCATTTATGCTATATTATGCTTCTTTCAGTTCTGCATGCAGAGATCTAACAGTTGCAACAACCATAAATTAAGAGCATTGCAATTTGCCTACTACTGAAAACAAAATTTTAGAGTTACAATATGAAAATAAAAGCAGGAATACCACCGAAAAATATTTTCTAAACAGGAAATGAAAACTTATACTGACTCCTTTTATATGATAATAGAATTTATGTGGATGGGTGTATTTACTTCTCCTTGAACTGGAATGAAATACCAGGACTCAGCATTGAGCTCCCATTGAACTCTTTGGAAGCCACTGACTTTCCTGTGGTTTTGAAACTCTGAACTTGCAGCCTGAATATGGGACTTAATATTTCACTGCAGGCTTTCACTTTTTTGCATTTCAGTCATGATTCCCTTCATCAAATGTATTTCTGAATATTCAGACCTGAGGTTTGGCTATCATTATCAGACATAAAAACATATTGTAAAGGGATGCATATTTGAAATATCCAGTGACGGAAAATGACAATGAAATAATTGAGATGATGTTCTCAGCAGATTACAAATGGGATTTTATACTGAGCTCAGGCAACTTAATGGCCAGTACTGGGTGGCAAGTAGAGGTGCAGCCCTGGAGGAAGCACAGTGAGAAGTTCTGGTTGAATTACCCTTAGTGGTTGTGGAGGAACTGTTTCTCCAGCCATTTGCAGGGTTTGTACTGCTTTTTCTTTGTGTGCTTGATTTGGCTTAGACCCATTTGGTGGGAATCAAGGTGCCAGGGTTTTCTGCACTGTGCCAACTTGCATGCCAATTGGGGAGCTATGGGCTGTAGGCCAGGCTTTTTGGTAAGCTAAGTTATGAGCCGAAACTATTGGACAAAATCTCTATTAAAATAAATTAGATTCTTGAACCCAGCTAAATACCAGGGTCATTCTGATATGACCTCCCTGATACGGCGTTGTCTTAAAACAGGGAGAACTGCCAGTGGTTTTCTTTAGTGCATTAATTACTCAGAAATATTTGCAAAAAAAAACCAAACAGATTTCAGCATCTTTTCTTTCATTTTGTTGTTGATATTCTAAATTTAGATAATTTTCATGGAACAAATATGTCTGTGATATGATAAAGATCCATTAATATTATCTCCATATTTTTAAAACCATTTTTTTGACCAAATACATGCAAATCTAACCTTTAAGTGAACTTTCCATGTCCTTTCTGTTTGTTTCATGTGCTTAAAACCGGTGAGAAATACTTGTAAAATTATTTGTGTTTGCCCAACCACTTCAGATAGTAGAACTGCAAACAGCTCTTATTGCTTTAATTTTTTTCATCATTGCTGTGTATTTCATCCTTCTGCTAGGACCTACAGTCAGTAACTTCTACTACACAGAGAGTTCATTACCAGGTAAGATAAGCTTTTCTTTTAGTATCAGAACAAAAAGAGGCTTAACGATGTGGACTGTACTCTTTGTGTTTGAACCCAGGTTTTCTTCTTGTTAGATACCTGTATGTTAGGTGAATTTCTGATTATTTTTTACCCTCAAATATTGGAGGGTCACTTTGCTTTCCCTTGGACAACCCTTTGCCTTGCAAACCTTATGGAATCATCTTCAAAATTAGCACAGCATGATGATGCGGGTGGTATTGCAATAGCAGTGCCTTGCATACGGAAGTGACTAAGAGAATGTGTCCTGTAGGACAAATGACAGAAGTAAAATCGTTTCTCTGTCCGAGAAACTGAACAATAACATGTTATGCTGCATAGGTGTAGTAATAAAGTCTATCACTGAGACAAAAAGGTGTGCTAGCAGCCCTAACCTCTTAATAATTCTGCACACTGCAGTCATCTACCTGTAGTTTAACAGAAGATTAATCTTCAGAGTAGTGTTTTAATTCATCCTGGGCACAAATATGTCTTTTGCATGTGACAAACAGGTTCTAGTTTTGGGTGGCTAGGTTTTAAAATTGGTCTCTTTATGCATTTTACAACTACAATTTATGCAATACGTTTTACAGTTGGAAGTATTGTTCAAGAATGCATTTCTCTCGCTAAAATATTGTGCTGCAGAGTGCTTAAATTAGGAGTAAACTAACTCAGACTAATTGTGCTGACTCCTGAGCCGATCTGACATTAGTGCAGAGACTTGACACAAACAACAGTCAATTGACACAGTGCCTAGGACCACGTGACAAGTTTGCATGATGTTGATAGCCTTTTCCTAGATTTAACAGTGCATATCTTGTGGGGATCAGCAGGCCTGAGTTCACTGAGAAAGTGTACAGAGATCCAGCTGATGGGAACCCATTGTGGTGAAGTTGCAGATAATTTCTTAAGGCTTAATGATTACCTGGGTGATAGAGAAGTCCAGTTAGGCAAGAATGCTTGTAAATGTGCTGAATGGAGGAAGATACCATGAGAAAATGCATTTGGCATGTTTTCCTGGAGTTGGCTTCTTCATACCAGTTCATGGTTTGTTTCTGAATTTCCCTGAATATCCAATTTTAATCTTGTATTTCTGCCATTTGTATCAATCATTGCCCTAGAACTGAGTTTTAGAGCAGTGTTAGTGTCTAGCAAATTGGCTAATAAAACAGCATGTATTATTCTGTTCCACTCATTATAAATTAACCTAAGTGGCTGCTGACTGCTCCATGCATAGGAAACTGCCTGAGGTAAAATGAATAACTAAATCTAAATGTATAGGGAGGGCCAAAAGAGTACAAAATGTCAGAAATCAGCCCTATACTTGGCTCTAACCTCTGCAGTTATAGTAGTCTATAAATTAATTGCCTAACCATCTTGTTTAGTGCACATCAGTGTGAGATCCCTAAGATACTATCAATTTTTTATAATGCTACATTGTGAATGCACCCCCTTCTGTGTTTTGTCTTCAGTACTTGTTTATTCTGGATTCTTCAAATATTGGTTTATTCTCAGTGGGTCATTTCTACAAACTGTCTTGTTAGGTTAATTTGAGGTTTGTTTCATGTTTGTTGGTTTCCCTCTGCATATTACAGAAAGGGGAAAAAGCAGGGCATAAAGGGCATTAATAAGATGCTTGAGTTGATGGAACTTTCTTCTTACCTCACTAATAAGGTGTCACGGGTACTTTTAGGTCTCGTAAATGCACTTCTCTTGCATGATTTCTTTGCAGCTCAAAACATGAGGAGTCAGCAGAAACATCAGCAAGCTCAGGTGCAAATGAGACAAATTATGCTACAGTTGTTTTTCTTTTTGTTTTATTTCTGTAATGAGTTTAATGCTCATAAAATATCATCCTCATAGGCCTGAGACTTCCCAAGCTAGTTCTGCAGTTGAACTATAATGAAGTCTTGGAAGGAACATAACACAATATGCAATTTGTGACTTGAATTTACCAGCATTATCCCTATCTTCGTTTTCCGAGCATTATGTATTCTAAGTCTGAATTTTTACTCATTTTTCCTCTTTGTATCATCTACCTTTTTAGTATGCATTGTTATCTTTGGATGCTCTCTTCCTTTTGTCCTTTGTATCCTAGTCCTCACCTTTCTGCAAATAGTGGACTAAATATTAAGATATGTAAAGCTTTGTGCATGTAGATACATAGACATTATCAAAGCTAGTGGATTTCAGAAAACCCTTGACTCTCCCACATGCACCTCAGTTGCGATACAAGCAAACCTAAGCATCCTACAATTCCGTAAGCCCACATTAGAGAAAGACATAGATGTATAAGTATGATGCTTAATCCACTGATATGTCATTTGATCCCCATGTGCAGAAATAGTTCACTTTACAGAATATCATGCTGTCATTGTCTTCATCTCTCCTGTAATGCACAGAGGTTGGAGATAAAAACCTGTACATGAGAACAAGGTTTATGGGAGCAAGTAAAATCCATGAGCCTAAATGTGGGAGAGGATTGAGGCTGTCTTATTTCTGTCAGGGTGGCTATAGAAGCAGGTGTCATGCATCGGAATGGA